CCCAACAGGTATACAGCTGATGGGAAGGTGACAGGAGGTGGCAGGTAACGAAGGAGCAGTCCTTGAAGACTGAGCAGCAGTGTGGGAACCCAGGTGACAGACCCTTTCCAGGCAGAAGCACCGAGCGCAGCGGCTCTAGCGGAGGGCTGGACAACCACTCTGGCAGGAGCCCGCTGAGGAGGAGGATCTCAGGGACCCCTGCCTTTCTGACCCCTTGACTCAGGAGGAAGAGTCTTCTGAGGAGGTCTGTGAGTCCTTCGCATCTGGAACCATTCGAAATGCAGTCAGAGATGAACTCGGTGAAGAGAGGACTATGCACGGTGAGAAAGTGCAGAATGTAATGCCCGAGAATAAGCAGAAACACACACTGATAGGTACCCCCCAAGCAGGAAGTCCCCTCTGAAGGAAGGCATTCATTCATTCACTGGAAGCAGATTTTACTTGGATACAAAAGCTTACTTGGAGAGCGGGGAGGAGGGAGACTGGAGAAAGGCGGATGTTATGCTATTGACAAAGGCACTTCCAAGGGGCCAGCAGATGGTGTGGTGGTTACATCGCTAGACTCCCACATGGCCAACTGTGGTTCAAGTCTCAGACCCCGCAGCTTGAAACTCATTCTGGTCATGTGTGCATGCGTGCCCCAAATCCCAAAAGCTCGAAAGGAGAATGAAGGGATTGCAGCATGACCTCCCCCAAGGAGGTGACTTCTCACTTTCTGTCTCCCTGGTGAGTGCATGTGCCTTATAGAAAAAAAATCTCCTAAAACAAAGAGATTTCAAAAATTCATGCAAAATGAGATTAAAGCACAAATTTATTTTGGTGCAAGAAATTGTAAATCTATGCATTTTGTTTTGTTTTGTTTTTAGGGAGATTTCTGCTGAAGGGCACGTGTGCTCACCAGAGAAACAGAAAGACAGAGATAAAAAGTGAGAAATCACCCCCCAGGGAGGATGGCTACACCGCAGTCCCTTCTATTCTTGGGCGTTTGAGCATGCACGCACATACACTCGGCATGAGTTTAAGCCACTGGGTCCAAGATTTGAACCGTGATTGACTATGTGGAATCCAGTTACATAACCATTACACCATCTGCTGGTCCCTAGTTTTGTCTTAATAAGCTCTTTCCATGAACTTTTTGAAGCCCACCCCCCGCCCCAACTCCAAATAGTCCCAGAATCATTACCAAGGTCTTCAGCATTCAGAGGGTCCTGGCAATGATTCCAGTATTCAGGGGCCACCTTCCCAACTTTCCAGAGAAGCCATTGAAACAGAACATCCTGAATACCTGGGAATACACAGGCCCTCAAGCATCTTCCATGCCTTATCTCACCTAGGCAGGAGACGCTTCAGACACGAGCAGACCGAGGCCCAGAGCAGGTACAGAAACATCCTGATTCCAGCTGGCAAGAAACAAAGCTGGAACCTCACTCCCAGTTAGCCAACAGTGGAAACCCCAAACTATTAAATATAATTTTTATTTCATCCAAGGCAAAGCTAAATACAATTCTACAACGCAAAACATGTTGTCAAGGCAAGACTGTCTGATCACATCCAATCTGTGCTTGAACATAAATCAGTGCTGGGTGTGAGTCCATCTGCGCCTCCCAGAGACACCTGCAGATCGGAGGCCTCCCCGAGCCCGCGGCTGCAGTATTTGATCTAGTACATAGGGAAGTCGACTATGGGTATTGTTGTCATCCAAGCCGGAGGATTAAACCATGCATAAGATAGTCAAAAGCACTGCATATCGGGTGGGAGGTGTGGGGGAGGGACTTCACCCTGGGACAAAGCAGAGTGAGGCAAGCTACAGGATTTCCCGAGCGGTCCCCCTCCTAGTGCCCCCTCCCCTGCCCTCCCGAGGCAGCTGTCTCTAACAGTGAGATGGAGTTGAGTGATGGAATCCGAGAGCAGAGCGTGACTGCTCTTCTCTGCCTCTCCGCCTTTCTCAGTCTCCAGGCGCTTCAGCAGGCTTAGCTCAGGCCAGGAGCGATGGCTCCTGAAACATCTGGTCTGCCCCATCAGCCATCAGCCGTCCCGTGCACAGGCAGGCCTCCACACACTTACACTGCCTAGGCACGCGTGCATTTCCACACGCACGCTCCACGCCCACTCCACATGTGCACACTCTCACCACTCCCGAGCGCGAGTCAGCAGAGGTGTGAGGAGTCTGAGTCCTACCCCACCTCTCCCAGGCCCCTCTGGCATCAGATTTCCTCATGGAGCTGCCTTCTGCTCATCCCTACTCAGGGAGAAACCCAAGGCCTGGAGTGCAGAGGTCTGATTTGGAGGTCGAAGGAAGAGGAGCTTGGAACGTGGTCTTTGGTCTCGCTGACGTCACTGTCAGCACAGCTGCATGCACCCAGGCTCCCCAGATCAACTTCGGAAACAGCTCACTCTGGCCCCCAAGCCCGGAACACCCTCGCCACCCTGGAGACCACCACCAGAGATTCGCACACACTGAGGGGCTACTGAGGGACGAGGTCTTGCCCATCCATGTTCCACGGGGAATCTGTGCCGTGTTTCTCCGTGGGCATGAGGCTGGCACTGGGTCAGGAGCATTCTTTAGGGTGGGGGCAGAGATTAGCACTCTTAGTCCTCACCCATTAAATGTCAGTGGTGTTCCCAGTCATGGAAGCAACCAGACCGAGACCACAGTCCCAGTCCCCTCTACTGAAAACCACTCAAGAGCTTTAAGCATCAGAGTCAAAGTGTCTAATATTACAAAGTCTAGATCATTTAAAGGAGGGGTGGGAAGTAGGTGTGTGTGTGTGTGTGTGTGTGTGTGTGTGTGTGTGTGTATGGTGTGCTATAGGAACAGGACACAGAAATGAGGGCAGGACAGACTTGGAACAGTCCTCCAATCGACCTCCAACACCTGACTCCCCAGATCCTGTTCCCTCTAAACAAAACTCGCCACGCCTCACAACGGTCCTGTGAGGTAGGTAAGTATGATTATACCCATTTGATAGATGAAAAGGCTGAGCCCAGAGAAGATACGTGGCCTGCCTAGAAGCCAGCAGCAGACCCAGGGGGTGGAAAGAGAGGCTGCTGGCCTTCTTCTCCCCCTTCCACACGCCCTGGCTTTGTCTCAAGAGAGTAGGAGGTGTCCCAGGCCCTCTGCCCCGGCCAGTGTCGAGTCTGGGAGGGAGAAAGCAAGAAGCCGAGTGCGAGACGGCAGCTACAGGGAGTTTTCCGGCTGGCAGGGGCTCTAGGATGTCAGCTCCTAGAGCCAGGAAAATCTGAACTCCAGCCTGTGGCATGGTGCTCTATGAAGGAGGACAGGAGAGACAAGAAGAGGGGACTTGTGAGCCCTTCACACTGAGCAAGTGGCACAGGCCCCAGGCATGGCAGCTGCAGAGACTGCTATTTCTTAACCCCTCTCTCCCATGTCCTGTGGTGGGAAAGTGTGCAACTGCGTTTTGTCAGGAGAGCCCTGGGCAGTCTCTTCTCCTTCCAGAAAACAGGCCTACTCCTCTCCCTTCCCTTGTCAGAGCCCAGGGGATACAGCATCGGAAATTCATTGAGGAGGGGACGCACAGACGGCGGAGACCCCTGTTAGTACACCTCCTGCCACCCCTGCCTCACCATTCCTCCCCAGAGGGACCCACACAGGGGACTGGTCTATAGGAGGCCCCACTTCCAGGCCACCATGTGCCCTGCCAGGGACTCCGATGGAAGCTCCTGGTGATGCCTCCAAGACTGTCCACGGCCAAAAAGCTGGGGCTGAGGGCAGGCCTATTGCAGACAGGTGGCCCCTCCGTGACCTTGGGGAGGGGAGCTGGAGAACGCCGCCCCTCACAGCGCCTGGCCAGACCCTGCTGGCTGCCCGGGCTGGAGCGGGTGGGAGACAACCAGGACTCGGGAGGTAAGGCACGGTCTAGCCCCACACGAGCAGGTGCAACACGGTTCTCGGGAAAGCAGAGGAAAGCTGCGGGTGCCCTCTCCCCTCCAAACTCTAGGGCAGGGGAAAGGACCACCCAGCTGGAAAGTCCAAGGGGCCTCTCATCCACAGAGGAAGGTCCCCGGGGTGAAGGCAAGCCCTTGACCCAAGGCTGGGGCCCTGGAGGCAGAGGGTCAGTGTGACGAAGGGTGGAGGAGCAGGCCATGGAGGGGTAGTGTGAGGTGCACCCCTCAGGCAAGGTGACGCCTGCCAGGCAGGGGAGGACCGGGCTCAGGAGTGCCCAGCGGTGGTGATGGTCCTGCCATGCTGAGGAGAGGGAATGCCAGTGCTAGCATGAGCCTTCCTGTGGCCGAGCCCCACGCTGGCTCGCCACCTGGCCTTGCACTTCTGACTCCTCAAGGAGGAAAGTTAGGAGCATGTGCATGGGCAGGAAGGCCTAGGGACCCCTCTCAGAGCCCCCAGTAGCCCAGAGAACAGAGCAGCAGGCTAGGTGGGCAGGGACCCTTCAGAAAAAGGCAGCCAGCCCTAGGGAGGAGAGCTTAGAAACTCTGAGCAGGGGTGGGATGGGGATCTGGGAGGGAAGGGATCAGGTACCCCACAAAGCTGCCCCTCACTGCAGCCTCACCTCCAGCAGCCCCGGGCTGGCTTCTCAGAGTCCTCCAGTGCACTCCCACATCGGAAGGCCCAGCCCTCCACCCATGCCCCTTCCTTCCCTGTCTCCAGAGTGCAGTTCCTGGGGCACCCCTCACTGACCCCCGTAAGTCCCTCTTGCAGAGAAATCAGAAAAAAAAACAAAAAAAAAAAAAAAA